TTCGCATCGCCTGTGGGAGAAGGCTGAACAAATGATCTCTGTGAACCGACTGAATACAATAGTGAACTCGGAAAAGGAATGTTAATGTGATGAAAGGGGATTTGGGTTTTTTAAGGTGACTGAGAAATCCCCACAGTCAATTTGACGGTTTGAGTCGGAAGTGGGCAGAAGGGAAAGAAGTAAAGAAAGATCGACGTCCACACCTACTAAGATCTTCTCTCTGATGTTGTGAGCCACTTGGGGAGGTTCCGAGGCGACGGCGTTTGGTGGGACGGGCATTGGTGTTGCGGTGAAGCGCGAGTATTGTGATTTTGCTTGGAGAAGAGAGCTGGAGGGGACAGGGGGTGGGGCTGGGTTAGAGAGCGAGTGCGGCCAAGCGTTTCCTTGGGCTGCGAGCCCCGAGCTGAAAGGGACAGGTGACAGGGCTGTGTTTGACAACGAGTGTGGCCAAGCACTTGCTTGGGCTGCGAGCCCCGAGCTGGACGGGTGGCAGGCGGGGCTGTGTTTAACAGCGGGTGTGGCCAAGCACTTGCTTGGGCTGCGAGCTCCAAGATGGAAGTAGCGGGAGGCGGGGCTGTGATTGGCGGCGGAGGCGGCCAAGCGCTTACTTGGGCTGCGGGCCCCGGCAAGGGGAAGGGGTAAGAGAGGCTAGTGGAAAGTGTTGAAAAGTTAGAGCCTCCGCCGCTTGAGGACTGGTGGCCGTGGAAAAGGCACGGGGTTAGGAACTGCTGGACAAAAAGGTTGGGAGGCTGAGGGGGGACTGGCAGGCCCAGCTGCAAACGGCCCTGCGGTGAAAGGCTGGGCTGCGGCTGATGTTGCATAAGGCCTTGCAGTGGCCTGATGCCGCGGCTTGATGATTACAGAATGCTGGGTCTTGCGCAGGAGGAAGACGGTGGAGTTGGGCGAGGCGTGTCTGAAGGTTTGCCTTGCCGTTTGGCCACCTTTGGGGCTGGGGTGGACTTAGGAGAGAGGTTAGCTGATTGCAGATTTGTGTGCAAGTCATATAACTCTGCTTTGTTTAACTTGCGTGAAGGCTGAACGTCGGAGTTGGTCAGCGCTTGCCTCAGACTCGACACTGTCCACTTTCCGATGGGCGGAATCGTTGGCATGGCCGAACAATAGGAGGATGCCGAGGAGTCGGCTGGGGTTCATGCCTTAAGTGGCGAGGGTAGGCCTTGGCGTCTTGGGAGGCGAGTGGCTGCTCGAGCAGTACAGCGCCCACGAGATGTGGCCTGAGGCTCTTTTGCGGTGCCACGGGAAGGAGTGGTCCTGGGGCTGGCAGATTGCAGCGATGGGACCAGAGGAGAGTCGGAGTCGTCATCAGACGGGAAGTTTTGGCTTTGCGACATAGTAGCAAACGGGCGAACCAAATGCTGATAAACTATCAAAAGATAGAGGTAAGTCTGCTGTATTTATACCTCTTGGTGTTAATTGACTTGAGTGGGCTCCTCTTGTGTTAATTAGGCTAAGTATCTGACGTGCTCCTCCCGAACTTTGTTAATAAAACATCATGTATTGACTGACAGCTCTCCTGTACCCATGTTGAGAGAAATTGGGAGTAAGTGCAGAGGCGTTCTGTGCGCTGTGGAAACAGGATGCTTACTAAATGTCAACATGCATTTACTCATCTCGCTTGCACAAAAACAGATTCACTATTCCTCAAATTAATATAAAAAGTAACTAAGTAATGCAATTAGTTACTTTTTTAGGGAGTAACACAATATCGTAATGCATTAGTTTTAAAAGTAACTTTCCCCAACCATCGCACTACACATTTTTGTATGTCTCTGATGAGTTGATGATCTGAATCAGGTGTGTTAAATAAGGAAGACATACAAAATGTGCAGAGCACTGGGTCCCCAGGATAAGAGTTGAGAACCACTAGAAAAGAATACTAGAAAATAATATATTTTCTGCTTCATTCTTTGATAAGAAGAAACAGATCACAAAAGGATGGTATTTCAAACACTAGAGTAAAACATGCTATTAAATGTTGTCTTTTGTTGGACAACAGATTTATAAACGCTTCTCATTACAAGTTTGGTCAAATGTTAAGCGTGTGTTGCTTTTTCAAATGTAGGTTATAAGCGACTCAAACTCACAGTCCTGTAAGATGTCAAATTGTGATTTCAGTTTTACTTATATTAATCGTACAGCCTTATATTGAAGTTGGAGAATGTGTTTCTAGTGGCAGTCCAGCATCAAAGCCTTCAATTGATTCTGGCAGTAACTGGTAGCCAGTGGAGTGAGATCAGGAGAAGTGTGACATTGGCTCTCTTTGGTTGATTGAAGACCGGATCATGTAATGCACAAACCTGCACAACCATGGGTGGTAAAGCTCTGTAAGTCATCAAACAGTATTCCCAGGTTCCTTGCTGTCTTGTTTGCATTAGTGTTGTGGAGTGAGTTATCGTCACGTTTCTCACTGCTCACAATTTATCTGGGGTTAACAATTGATCCTGTGTATTCATTAGCTGACGTTTCCCACTATACATTCCTAAACCCCTGGTTCTTATTTGCTTATTTGCAGTGTTAGTGTCATTGATCAGACAAACACAGAACTCGACCTGTTTATGTAACGGCTCTAGTATTGCGCATCCTCATATTACGTACTGCACACTGTACTATCACATTTTTTTCTTGAATGGACTTTTCAGACTATAAATGTAAGAACTAAATGGTTTCTGTTTCACTTCAGTTAACATTTTCTGTCATCATTTGACATTTTTCCCCTTAAACACTGAAATGACAATTTCCATGGCTGTCCAAAGCACATGATATGAGGCACACTATTGGCTGTCTGTTGCCAGTCATCTAATGATAACATTTCAACATTCAAACAGCACATCGTTTCATACTGAACACATTTGGCACCGTTATGCAGGGTTAACACCACAAAAGCAGAGCTTATCCTGCTCTGGAGCAGGGTTTCATAACCCCAGTGCTAGTGCTGCTTCTAAATTACAAGTGTGAAACATGCCTTTACCCAGGGTCAAATATGGGGACAGAACGATGATAACCGGGGTTAAACGCAGTGTGAAAGTTCTATTGTGGTCGACCACAATATGCTAAAAGACACCAATGTTCCATAAATATTTGAATAATAATGAATAGAATAAACTATTTTTCTAGTAATATACGTCTTTTAATCGAAAGGTCCAATCACAGCAAGGTAGAAAACTTTAACGAATACAGTAACGATAAAGTTTTAATAATCATCCACAACACCACACCTATGGTGATCACAACAGAGGGGAACGATATTGAAGTGCTCAAGCATTTAAAGCAGCAGACAACATACATGCATATTAAACATATTAACATACATATTAAACAATGTTATGGTCAGGTATCATGGTAATCTTTATGTTATCTTTATAGTTATCGTTCTTGGTATGAACATGCTTTAACTATATGCAATTGAAGGTTGCCAGGCAATGTAACATCCTAGCTCTTTAATAAAGGCATTTGTTTATCTGTAACTGCTTTGAACGTGGCTAATTCAATCAGAATTTAAGAGATGACTATTTATTCCATAATTGATCAAATGAATCCAGTTATACTGTGCACAGAAGTGAAATAGCACAAACATGAAAACTAACTGAAGCATTTTATGATAGTGTTTTAGAGGGGTTTTCATTTCATTGTACGGAAACAACAGCAGCTTTGGCATTTTGATAATACCTCTTTTTAAGATTCAAAGGAATACAGTTTAGATGAGAGCTACATGGTGGGTAAATGGTGGCAACATTTTGAAGGCTTGACTTAATTGAACTATAACATAGCCAAGAGAACAGATGACAGATGAACCATTATATAAAATAAAAATAAGTAAAAATACAATTGTTTTGTGTAAGTTGCATTAAAATTCACTGCTATAATGCAAAGTAAATATTAAACAGATCTGATCCAGATTTAGACATCATGAGCTATTATTACACTGGTACATGACCACAATTCACATTATGATTCAAAAATTCAAGTTATGAGTTTGAGTATTGACAGAATCTATAAATTATGCATGAACTGTCTTTGGACCTTAGATAAATAGACCTTGCTTTAAAGAGCAAACAGAAATATAACTCGTAGGTTATGTGAGATTGAACATCCTGACATTACCTCTAAACTGGTCGATATGGCTTCTTGAATTATGACTCTAAATTTCGAGGACTCTTCATGACACATGGCTTGGTTCTCAGGTTCTACTTTATTTGGCTAGAATGCATGCAGATACTGTACTAACCAACACAAAAGACAGCAAACAACCACATTTCAGAACCAAGTAAAGATGAACTTTTATATATAAAACATCCACTGATAAAGGACCTCGCTAATCAGACTGGTTTTTAAATAATCTATATTATGTAACAGTAAACTAATGAGTGGTGGTTCAATGAGGCCATAAATGTATTTGTACAAATACTTCTGAACAAGATTGTATTTAGTTATTTTCAACAATCGAGCATAACAGTTTTGTAAAAAATCCCCCTCATTTTCTTCATAGAGAAATTGATTTTTAACAATACCATATGAACGTACCATATGAAAATGTTTACATTTTAATGTAAATAACTACACTACCCATAATCCAGAATAAACCCTTCACCAAACAGAGAAGGCTGTTACCATAACATAGATTTGCAATTAAAAATGTCAGCATACTGAGCCATTCTCACAAAGCATTGCGAATGGTGTTGAGTCTCCTGACACATGCTTAAATTATTGTATCTAAATATTTTGCCAAAAAAAAAAAGTTTCTATACTTCTAATCAATAACTATAAGTCAGTAGTTCTATATTGAACCATTGCTTTATCATTCTCAATGCTTTAAGGGATGAGTAGTTAATTCACTCATAAAAAACATCTGTGCAAAACAACTCAAATGATAATTTTTGCTGTATCATAAACACATTATACATGCAAAGTATGAAAATGGCGCATTTCACAGGGAAAAAAAACACTAAAATATAACATCAGTCAGGCGATATTCATCTGCAGAACAGTGCCCATAAGCAGCATCATCAGTTCACTTTAATCATCTGTGATATGGGTGACGTGAATACCACTCAGCTCGGCTCCCTTTCTACATTCGGTGAGTTGGGGATTGATGTCTGACTCATCTGCGCTCTTCCTGGAGGTGTAGGTGGATTTCCAGCGAAGGAGAACGATCCTTTTGAAATATTTGACAGTGTTGTTCTTTACACTGACGAAGCAGAACGTGTTGATCATGCTGTTGCTCATGGCGATGCACTCGATAATGTAGAAAGCCACCAGGGAGTTCCTCTCTCGGGAGATGAGCGTGGGGTAGAAATCGCGCAGGAGGGTGTAGCCGTAGTATGGAGCCCAGCAGAGGATGTATGCTGTGAGAATGCCTATCAGCACCATGACAGTCTTCCTCCGGCAGCGCAGGCGTTTGCGGATCTGCTCCGTTTGGAAACCTGGCACACTCTTGAACCAGAGCTCTCTGGAGATGCGCAGATAGCACAGGGCCATGGTGAGCACTGGGCCCACAAACTCCACGGCGAAGATAAACAGGTAATATGAGCGATAATACAGCTGCTGGTCCACCGTCCAGATCTGGGCGCAGAAGGTCTTGCTGCGGTTTGCTCCATTGGGGACTTTGGTTGCGGACGCGAAGTAAGCAGAGGGAATGGAAATGAGCACTGAGATGATCCACACCCCAGTTATGAGACAGTATGCGGTCTGGTGCTTCATTCTGGGCCTCAAGGGATGAACGATGGCCATATACCTAAACACAACAATGACAATTAGTGGGATTCCATTCAATTTCCTTTCTCTATGGGGCAAATTCACTAAAAACTTGCATTTTAAACACTTACAATCCTGTTGAACCAGGTACTATTTAACAGTCTGCACTGGTTTAGTGCTGTGCCATGCACATTTACATTCAGTCATAGTCACTGTTTTCAGCACAGTCACGATATGTGAGTTTAGATGTCAGTGGTATATGCCAAGTAGCAGTGGTGGACAGTAACGGAGTATTTTTACTAGTATTTTTTCAAGTTTCTGTACTTTATCAGAGTACTTTATTTTTTGGAAATTTTTACTTTTACTTTTTACTTCACTACATTACAAAGCATAATATCATACTTTTTACTCCAATACATTTCATAACAAGAAGTTGTTTCTAGTTATTTTGAACTTAAAAAATAACCACCCCCTTTGAAGACGCAAGAGCGTTGTCTGATTCATGAGCTTATTCTTTCCAAAAAAACACAAAGTGATCTGGTCAAAATGAGGCAAAATCATTTAGGTTACGTTATGTAATGAAACCCTCGTTTACTGAAGGAGGGAACAGAGACGTTATGTCGACACAAACGTTAGGGGTCTCACTTATACAGAACCTGGCAAGAGACTCCTCCGCTGAGTCTGAGTGCCACAGGGTGCTGAGGGAAATCAACCAGAGTTCACCCTACAGGGGAACTATACTAGAAGAAGATAAAGCACACATATCCACCAACTAGAAGAATGGCGCCGCAAGGGAAACATCGAGCCAATCCTCCCGCAAATTAAACCCAACACATGGGAAGAAATATTTTGCAAAAGTATTAGGTGTCACCCAGTCCGGAAATCTGCAGATGTCTGCTAGAGAGGCATTGTGTGCTAATGCCCAGGAAGAGGCCAAACTCCGATTGGAGTGAGCTCTCACCCTCAAAGGGGGGTGGAGTGGTGGGAACTTTTGGCACATGACCAGGCCGGAGTCTCAGGATAATGTAAGAGTCAGCTGGCCCAAACTCAAGGCACGATTTGTTGACCCAAAAAAAGCCTGCAGGTCCCCAACCCTCTTGATGGAAGTGAGCATGACCAGAAGCACTGTCTTCAAAGACAGGATGTTAAGCTTGAACTGAATCAAGTGGATAAAAGGGGGCACTTCGAGATCCTGCCAGGACCACAGAGAGATCCCAAAAGGGAATGAGGCATGATCTAGGAGGATTAACCTCCTCGCACCCCTCAGGAACCTGATAATCAGGTCGTGCCTCCCCAATGATCTTCCATCCACTGCATCGTGGTGTGCCGCAATAGCGGTGACATACACTTTCAAAGTGGAGAGGGACAGCCTCCGCTCCAACTTCTCTTGCAGGAAGGAAAACACAACGCTGACTGGGTATCCTCAGGGGTCTTCTCGCCGAGAAGAACACCAATCAATGAACAGACTCCACTTCAGAGCATAAGCCTGCCTAGTAGAGGGGGCTCTAGCCTGAGTGATAATATATATCACAGCCTGTGACAATTCAATTCAATTCAATTTGTTGTCAAGTTTATTTGTATAGCGCTTTTCATGATACAAATCGTTGCAAAAACAAAATGGTAGCGATCGTACAGGAAGGATCTAAACCATCTTAAAGCCTGCCCTTGAATACCTGTATAGTTTTGTAATCTATCTATGAGTATGTCATGATCTATAGTGTCGAATGCAGCACTAAGATCAACTAAAACTAGCAATGAGTGTGACAAGCCAGTGAAATCTGCCGCGTCCCATTCAGAATCCAAACATGCAGGTTCCAGAGATAGGTACACAGGTGCCGGATGGTGCCCTGCCCCTGAGAAAAAAAGGTCTTTCCTCAGGGGAATTCTCCAGGGAGGGGCTGTCACGAGAAGCATGAGGTTGGAAAATCAGGTCCGGGTTGGCCAATAGGGCGCAACCAACAGCACCTGCTCCCCATTTTCCCTGATCTTGCACAGAGTATGTGCAAGGAGACTCACTTGGGGGATGGCATACTTGTGCAGCCCCCAGGGCCAGCTGTGTGCCAGCACATCCATGCTGAGGGGGTCCTCAGTCAGGAAATAGAACAATTGGCAATGGGAGGATTCCTGGGAAGCAAACAGAATAACCTGTGCTTCCCCGAATCAACTGCAAATTAGCTGAACCACCTGGGGATGGAGTCTCCATTCTCCCAGGAGGGTAAGCTGCCAGGAGAGTGCATTGGCTGCATGGTTGAGCTCCCCCAAAACATGAATGGCACACAGCGATTTGAGCTGCGTCGGACTCCAAAGGAGGAGATGGTGGGCGAGTTGTCCGCAACTCCCCCTTGATGGTTGATGTACGCAACTGTCGCAGTGTTGTCCGTCCAGACAAGTACATGCTTGCCTTGTAGCAGTGGTCAAATCCAGCAAAGGGCAATTAGTACTGCCAGCAACTCGAGGCAATTAATATGCCACTGCAGGGCATTTAGTTGCCCAGCCCGTCCTGGAGACATCTGTTATAACAACAATATGCCTCGACACTTGCTCCAAGGGCACCCCTGCCCGAAGAAAAGCGAGGTCTGTCCAGGGGCTGAAAGGACAATGACAAATTGACGAAACAATCACCCGATGCATGCCGCGGTGCCGTGACCATCTTGGGACTCAGCTGTGCAGCCAGTGCTGAAGCGGTCTCATATGTAGCAATCCGAGAGGTGTTACCACAGCTGCAGATGCCATATGCCCCAGGAGCCTCTGAAATTGTTTTAGAGGAATCGCTGTTTTCCCCATGAACGAATTCAGTCAGGTCAGCACTGACTGGGCACGCTTGCTTTTGAGACGTGCCGTCACATTGACCGAGCCCAACTCCATACCGAGAAAAGAGATGCTCTGCACAGGGAAGAGCTTGTTCTTTTCCCAGTTAACACCAAGCCCCAGCTGACTGAAATGCTGAAGCACCTTATCCCTGTGCTTGCACAACAGATCTCGAGAGCTAATATAAGCCAGTTGAGGACTCGGATACTCTTCTCCCGTAATGGAGACAGAGCACCTTCCACAGCTTTTGTGAATATGTGGGGAGACAGAGACAGCCCGAAGGGAAGGCCGACCCTCAAACCGGGGGAAATGGTCTGTGTCAAAGCAGTATCAAGACATGACAGTGCACGTCCTTCAGGTTGATCGCTGCAAAACCAATTCTGGTGTCAAACTCAAGAAAGAATGTACTTCTGCATCAACATCTTGAGTGGAAGCCTGTGAAGGGACTGATTCAAGACTCACAGATCCAGGATTGGTCATAGCCCACCACTTTTCTTGGGTACGATGAAGTAAAGACTGTAAAACCCCGCCTCCATCTCGACTGGATGGACAGGCTCTATTGCATCCTTCACCAGGAGGACTGCAATCTCTGCATACACGGCAGGGGAATCTCTGAAAGCATCACCAGAGGGACGATCTCTGACATACCCTCTGTGGTGCAGCAGGGGGAAGGAAGAGTGCCCAACCTGGGAAGCATAGCTTCCTAAAATTAAAGGCAGAGAAGGAGATGGCAAGGGAAGCATGAGGAAGCAAAGTGTCCTGCATCCGCATACTCTTGGTCTGTGGTGAAGAAAAGCATCGGAACTAACAGGGAGTAAAGCGAACTTTGTTGGCGTCCTGCATCTCAGCCAGGTTCAGCCATAGATGGCGCTCCTGGACTACCATTGTAGACATCACCTGCCCAAGGGACAGATGTCATGAATGCCCATGACATTCGTCACTCTGAGATGGGAGCTGCAGATGATTACTCCAAGTGGCGGTGTTTTGCAGGCACAAGTACACCACAACCACACGCTTCACTTGGGGAACGTCCACATACCCCTTGGCTGCCCCACCATCAATGGTAGTGAGGAGGAAAGAGCTCAAACGTGACTGGGTGGTGTAAGGTGCCTTCCACATTTTAGTGAGCTCTTCATTAACCTCTGGGAAGAAAGGCACTTCCGGTGCCCAGATACCAATCATCCAGCCTTGAGTGCTCAGGGGATGGAGGTGCTATTGCCAGGGGTTGCTCAGCAGAATCTTCAGCATCAGATGACAAAAGCTCCTCCTCTAAGGTTACGATAGACATCTTATCCTCATCTGTAGCCCCGAATGAGACGCTGGGTCCGCTGGGTCCGATGGACCGACACCTTCACCCAGGGGCTCAACAGCACCATGCTGCCTAAACCAGCTAAGACCAGCCAACCAGCATAGGCTAGGTTTAGCTGGGGTTTTTTTTTCAGCATTGGGGAAAAACAGCACTCTTCATGTGATATAGATTAACTATATTAACCCTTTGGGATCGACAAACGCGGATATGCGTTTTGTGGCATCTTCTCCTGATAACACCGAAAATAACTTAAATTACACTTTCAGTTTTGATCTTACAGATAAGAGCAATACATCAATCGAATCTGTAAATGGTCTACTTTTATTTGTATACACACATAATAACAACAAAACTTTGTGCATTTATAAAATAAAGAAAACAAACAGGGTGCGCTGTCTGCCGCCTTGGTCTGCGTGATCTTTATTTAGAAATGCGTCATTAAAATGAACTGTAACTCAGCAAATACTCAACAAAGAGAGAGGGTTAATGTCACCGAGTCACCCGTTCCCTCAGCCACACACTTTGCAATCACCCGCTCCAATTCACCTGACTATTAACTCACCTCACCTGTTTCACTTCATTATCCACCACATATAAGCAATAAACTTAACTGTTGGATTTATGGAATTAAATGATATAAATATAAAAGACATACAGAGGCATTTTTGCCACCTACAATTTAGAATGCCTTGAATTTTGATTATTCTAAATGTGTTTTAGTTGACTAAATCATGTAGTGTATGCGTACACTTTCTGTGTGTGTTTTTTTTAAATATACTCAATAATGTCAGATCGCACATGGTTAAAACAACACTTACCATATTATCGCAGACGATATACTGTATACCGCACACCCCAGCCTAAACTTGAGTGGAAAATGAAATAATCTGCAGTTGTGCAAGCACTTGTTTGCACATGAGCAAAGTTGGTTTTTAGGAGTCCAACTTGCAAGCACCAGACCACGGATTCGTCAAACCTGATTTCTTGCAGTGTGTGTTCTTCCGACTTTATTTTTGTGGTAAGTAACGAATATGCTTTGGGGAAATGTATCGGAGTATAAGTATACATTTTAATTTGGAAATGTAGTGGAGTAAAAGTGAAAGTTGACAGAAATATAAAAACTCAAGTATATATTCTCCCAAAAAATACTTAAGTACTGTAACTAAGTATTATTAATTCGTTACATTACACCACTGCTTATTTGCAGATCAACACATTAAATGTCTGCACTAATAGACACTAAATGACTAGTCTGACTAGTACTGGCTAGAATAAATAATACACATGGTTCATTGATCAGTATTTTTTACTTTTAATACTTAAGTACATTAAAATCAAGTACTTTTGTACTTTTACTCAAGTAAAATGGAAAATGAGTACTTTTACTGGAGTAACATTTTATTATGGTATCTGTACTTTTACTCAGTTAATGTTAAATGGTAATGTTGTTTTCCACCCATGGATATACAGTAAAATATATATCTGTAAAATATGCCAACTTCAGGTATATATTGTATATTAACATTATTGCCACCTTTGCACTGCACTGTGACAGTGTTTATGAGTCTTGTGTGAAACCTAATTTTCCCTAACGCTTCAACACATTTCTTCTGTTGCATTGCCAGCACTGATGTTTCCCTCAGGAAATGCTAATCTAGTTCAATGTGTTCCGTTTGTCTTATTTAAAGATTTCTATCAGTAGATCAGAAGCTTATGCATATGTAAGTCATCCATAATTGAATTTTGCTTAATTATGGACTGTCATTAGAGTCAAGTCAAACGGCGAGGCAGATTTAATTATAAGTGGTCCTCAAATTATCAGAATTAAAAAAGACTGTGATAATGTTCAAACAAACTCGTCCTGTGAAAATGGAACTGTGTAAAAAATGACTTATTGAGATGAAGTGTCCGGGGAAACTTCAAAGTTGTTTGGCTTTAAAAAATAAAATGCTTCTGATATCTAACTGCTGTAGAAATAGTACAGAATCCGTAATGTACTCTTTATTCTCTTATTTTAGCAAAATTGTAATTCTCTGGTACAGGACAAAATTAATCATTAATATTGTCAATATTTCAACATATTTTATTCCAGTTCAAGCTGTTTGAGAATAGGCTTAAGTAAAGAGCACATAATTGTTGTTTACTCGGGCCATATTTTACACCTTCATAGGGAAAGGATGATAGAAAAGGAGATTTTATTGAATAAAACATAGTTCAGACTCAAAATTCTGAATGGATGTGATGTGTTCGAAGCTATTAAACACACAGCTGCGACCGCACATTTGAAAAGTTTGGTCACACTTTCCATTATAAATGTATTCTTAAGACATTGTAATAGATGCATAATTCCTTATAAAATACTTAGTAGAAAAATACATAGTAGTACATTATGAAGGATCTAATTAATTATTTGTGGTTTAAACTTTTAAGAGTATGATGATTTTTAACCATTTACGTCATCAATAAATGTATTTTAAGTCTCATATCTTGACATTAGGATCTGCACAGTTTCTTACTACATCTTATGAGTGGTTAGGAGTATTTCTTCATACTTGTGAAGTCAATGTGAATTTCAATGTGAGCTCACCGGTATCCATTTTGCATGCAAAACAATGAAATATGGTTTTGTGGATATTAAAATTAGAAATGTTCATAGCAAATGTGTCATAACCCATTGATGATATCTTAAGGCTGTTTTAAAGAAGACTTAACTCAGGTTACATTACTCAAAGCAAAGACCACTATTAAATATTATGACCACATTATAAAGCTCGTTTACAAGAAGATTTGTAATGGTTTGTATCTCATGATGCAGTGAGATACTGTGCAGATCTCTAACAATGTCAATATTTAAGGCTTATAATGCATTTTGCATACATTGTAATGCCTTAAGACTACCCATATAATGCATTATAAATACAGGCTTCATAGAAACTGTAACCAAAGGTTAATCTAAAAATGTACATTTCATCATTTTTTGCTCACTTTTATGTTGTTCCAAACCTGTATGCTGTTATTGTTTAAAACTTTGACATCAAGCCTGGAATGGTGCATTTGAATGAATGCAGATGTGAATGAGATTTCAGACTTTGGCAGAAGGGAAGATTATGAGCGAATAAAAGCATACATTGTGGTTTCTTTATGACACAAAACTATTGTATGACATCAGAAGACAGCATACTCATGAATACAGCAACTCATACGCACTACACAAAGTTTTAAAGCTATTTTTATGTACTGCTCTTATGAGGTATTACACCATGGAAAAGAGCTGCATAATGATTCTTCAAAAATTCTCCTTTTATGAGCCACACTCACAAAAAAAGCACATGGTTTTAGAAAAAAAAACCCGCAAACAATGAGACAAATTATATATTGGGGCTGTTCCATTGTTTGACAACTGTAAAAAGCTTTCAGCTAGGCTAATGATTGATTTTGTATTGTTTATTGTGAATTTTACTTTACTGTAAATAATAACTCATAGCCTCTCAAACGACTTATTGCTTTCATTTACTGCTTTTAGGCTGAAACCTTATAACCTTTATATTTGTTTTTAAGTACAGCTGTATTTTTCCTAGTGAAGAGGTTCACTTGAGTTGTTGCCAATAAAGGATAATACACAGTAGATTATTAAATCCTACTCAATTACTGGAACGCTTTTGTTGAAGAGTAGGAAATATTTTCTCACAATCATCTATTTGAGCAGTATGTTGTGACGTGCTTTGTTCAGGAAGCTCAATGCATAATGCATGAATCTGAAAGCCAACGATATTTTGCCCGCTGAATAAGTGACCCAGCCCCGGGTTTTCCTTTCAACTGTCTAGCAGGACAGAGGTACGATATCTAAATCACACCAACCTGTCAACGGCGATGGCCAGTAAGGCATTAGTAGACACATAGAGAGAGACAGTCCTGAGGTAGTTGACGGAGGCACACAACACTTTCCCATGATCCCAGGAGAGTTGCTTGACCACGTAATAATCCACCAAGAAAGGGCAGCAGACCACAGCCACTATGAAGTCAGAGATGGCCAGGTTGGCGATCAGCAGGTTGGTGAGGTTCCTGAGTTTTTTATATCGGGCCAGAGTAGCTATGAAGAGGAAGTTGCCGAAGCCGCACACCAGAATGATGCAGACGAGCACGGCTCCGATGACGATGGTGGCCACGAAGTAGGCCAGTCCCTGCGTGGTGTCCGGCATCTCCTCTAAAGGAACACCATAGTCCATGTCGTAGAAGTCAGTGTAAGTGTCGTGAACGTCCAGAATGGGAACCTGACTATGAGGGTTCACGAAGACGGCTGCCAAGTGAGTGATGTTTGCGTCCTCCATGGCAGAGAATTCGAGAGAAGCCAATAAGCGCTGTTGATGTCTGATGGGTTTTTGGTGTCGTAAAGTTCACTAGTCTTTTTCTAGCAGTCAGTGGTCATGACCCAGGAATGTTCTTGTCTTTGAAATGGTTTCAGATTGCATTTCCAGGAGAAGAAAGCAGGAGAAAAGCCACATATGAAACACAAAACATAAACACTGACATTATTTCATGATAACTGAAAAACATTGTGGCAAATAATATTATGTCTATCTGAGTTTAAAGAGCACTTCACTCAAAAATGAAACGTGTCAGTGAAAAGGAGTCTTATTCAAAAGTAAATCTGTTCACAAAAGCATTTGAATGAACTCATCAACTCAGTGACTCACCGCAGCAGCACTAGATTAAATCATATACATAATACATTATCATACTGCCTTATGATATATATATATATATATATATATATATATCATAAAGCTGTATGATAATGTATTATGTATATATATATATATATAATTGTAATCACGGTCATAATACATTATCATTTCATAGCATATAAATTATAAATTGTATGATGCATTATAACACATGATATATGGAGCTGAATGTTGATCATTATTTTGTCGTGATGCACCATATGCTTTAATGCTATAATCAGAAGAGATATTATGATGTACGTAGCCGTTCTTGCAATTTTAGTCTTCTTGAAATTAAAATCAATAATTCTGTCTGCTGCCCTTTCACTTAATTACATTAGAGCGGTTTATGCTGCAAGCTGTTCATGAAGTAAAATAGCACTAATAGACATCAATAATTAAATATTACACAGTTTGAGCTGTAACAGTTACAACTAAACATTTAACACTTTGTCCAACATGATGTTGAATATAAATATGACCCTGTGCCGAACGATGAAGTTTCCTCATCCCGTATTGAGACTAAACTTACCGACTTTCAGGAGTTGAGAGACGCGTGTCATTGTCGCCGGTGCGTGATGTTTCTTTAGTCTCATCTGTGTAATTCACATGCAGATGCATGCAGCGCGCGAGTCCTTCACACACATCAGCATCTCTCTCCCTCTTGTGGCAAATGTGAAAGTCTGATCACTGATGTCTTCAGTCCTCGAGATCCTCGGATTCCTCCCACCTGTTCGCTGTGCTGTGACGCGTATTTCACTAAATTACAGTGTCGCGCAAATCCAAGAGCCTCTGCAATACAGCAAATTAATCCTTCAGTTAAAAGCTCAGTTTGTAAGTAGTTTGCTCGTTCTCTGCCGTCTGACCTTAAAAAAACTAAATATGGTTTTTGAAGCAGCAAGATGGCAAATCTCCACTACCTTTTTTTATTAGTCCTCTGCTGGGAACCTAAACAATGCAACCGGACTATTCAACATTTTTCTATACATTTTTTTGAACGAATAAAGGCTGTTACAAACCAATCAGTTCTTCTGACACTAAACAGTGAACACTCAGAGCCACATACTTCAGCCAGTTCTTCTAACATTAAACTGAAGTAGTCAAACAGCGTCCCGTGTCACGCTTCTCCTCTGGCTTGTGCTAAACACCTCAGCTCAAAGCCCAGCACCATATGTGAAGCAGTCAGTCCATCAGCTGCTGAAGCTGAACGCTGAGACCGTGGACTGTCTAATGGCCAGAGGGAATGACGATGTTCTTCCTGGTAATGAAGAATTGATCTGTGAATATCACCACCACACCATTCTTTCATTATGTCATTTACACTATTAGAGAGCAGCCAACTGCTGTTTCTGGAGCCACATCAACTCCCTGGTGTTAGAGACACATTCTATTGATACATTTTCATTGAGACGTTTGAATTGTTGGTCTAGGAAGGTTGAGATACAAGTGAAGCCACTGCTTTATTAAAAAGCCATCATAGCCAGAAGGATAAACCATATTTTCTATTTAAATAAGTAAATAAATAAACACACATGGTTTAAACATTTCCACACATGCTAACATAACTAAACGTATGGTGTTTACTTGTTGCCATATCAAGACTATATAGAGTAAAATATATATTTTGAAGATATCTCTGAAAATTATTTAACAGTAGCAAAAGTACATTTCTGGCTGAAGTAAATTTTTCTTCTCAGTTTTAAATTGCAGTTGCCCATATGGGGAACGTCGTAACACCGAGTTAAAATGTGCCCCACTATTATTAAAGCTTTATGCTATTCTTTGATTCATGAATTTATTTTTTTAATGAATTTTAATGAGAAACCATGAGACAGGTGAATAAAGACTGAGAGTCAATGTTCAGAAATTATTATTTCAAGAAATGTAAAGTATTTTGGCTTGTCTATTTGTCTCCTGTTCTGTGAGAGCTGTGTGTGTTGTGTTCATCTATGTGTTTCTTTATCCATTTGCCCACATTGTTTTGAACTATGCTGTATATTTGTGTGTTGTGATCAGGGCCATTTCAAGCATGGGGCCCTTGTACCAATGTGTTTATTGTCAAACTCCAAAATTAGTTTATTTTCAATTCTTAACACAAGAAAATAAAATAAAATAAAATAGTTTGTCTTGCATACTTTTTTCATTAGACCAGATAACATTTTAAGCTGTCATATGGTCATGTTACAACGTGTCCCTATATATATATATGGAAAACAACTTTGTGGTTTGAGTATGGTTTGTGATCAAAAGCTGACATTCTACAGTAGCAGCTCATCAATGCTGAGACATACACTCCAAACACGTTCAAGTAGCTGATGGTTGTACATCAGCTTCAGCTCTGCCAGATCTGCTGTTGTGGTCATCTGCTCCACCGTGGGGATCTTCTGTCCCATCTGCTCCACCTTGGTAATCATCTGCTCCACTGTGAGGATCTTTGGTCACATCTGGTCCACCTTCTGCTTTGTATTTTCTTAATTTTCTTTTTTTTTTTTCTATGATCATTTATAATCATTAGTCATTTATGTAATTCATCATGAATTTCATCATATCATTTATAATCATTAGTCATTTATGTAATTCATCATTCAAATTTAATCATTAATCATTTAAATATTTGTCATTTTTCTCTGTTTTTATATTACTTATTTTCCTTACTCTTGCAATGCTTGCCTTTGTCGTTTAATATTATGATTGTTTTTATCATGAAATCTGTCTTAATGAAAAAAAGATAAGAAAAGAATATTGCAATCTCAAGGTTATATGTGATGGATTGTTGATGTTAAGTAATTTGGTATAAAAACACCTGTTGGGTTTGGGTACCAGACAAGACTTGCTGTTGTTACCCGCCTCAAGTCTGGGACGCCTGAGTGGGTAAGTTAGATGTACAACTCTGGCCAGCACTGTAATATAATGAAAAGAAACGCTATAAGACAGAGGAGTACTGGCTGCAGTCTTCGGCAATATTTAATTGATTCTCCATATTTTCTTTCCTTTCAATGAATTCACAACATTAACATTTTTAACTTTACAGAACAATCATTATTTGTTTCTTTGTAAAACAACACTTTTCAATAAAGACAGTTACATTACAATAAAGGCCTTTCAAAAGTTATTTGTGTCTTCAGTTCTGTAACATATTACTATCAAACACAATACATTCAGTTCTGTAACATATTACTATCAAACACAATACATTCAGTTCTGTAACATATTACTATCAAACACAATACATTCAGTTCTGTAACATATTACTATCAGACACAATACATTCAACTTTTACAGGATTTTCAATCAACCATCATGTATTTCACATCACCATCACATTCACGAGACAGTAATCTAATTTTTAGACTCACAAATGAATATAGCATTTCGTTTCATGCAATCCTCGTGTTTTACATGTACGTCGCCATTTTGGCTCTAACTCACGCATGTTTACACTGCCATTTTGGCTCTAGATAACTTCCAGTTGCAAACGCACATTTAACTCACTTAACCTTTCTCATCCAATAACAATCAACATTATAAACTCTTTATAAACATCCATGAACACTTTTCACATATATGTTTCCTCTTATGTCTAATACATATTACTAAATGCGTATTAATAAACAGTCTTACTCAATAACCCAACAAAAATAAACACATACATCTTTGAAACACAGTGTTTTACATTAGTTTCAACCAGTTTTTGAATCAGTTTTGCTCACCTGTAATATAATGAAAAGAAACGCTGTAAGACAGAGGAGTACTGGCTGCAGTCTTCGGCAATATTTAATTGATTCTGACTCGCCCGCTGCATTACCTTGAAACAATAGCGGTAAGCGACCTCTTCAGGTGGCAAGCATAACAGCAACAAAGCATTCTTTTCCACTCGGTGAACTGATGAATGAAAATGAAGATGATGAATTTACACCAATTTATATAACATAATTAATGTTTTTAAGGCACAAATACCACCCAAAATTTTAAGAGGTGTTTTTTTTTTTCCTACCCATATAGACATATGCATTTTAAGCACATTCATTTTTACCAACCCCTACACGTACACTGTTAGACATTTCTGTAATTTCTAGTTATTTACTGTATATCACCCAGTATAATACTGCAAATTCGCTTTACAGTAAATAACTGTAATACCCTTTGCATCATGGGAATTTTCTGTGACGTCAAACCCCACATACAGTGACTTACTGTATTTTTTAAAATTGCTGTATACTACTGTATTTGCCGTAACGGCCTCTGTGGCGCCATTCCATTGAGGTTGTTTTATATTCCTCATTTCTTACATTTGGATTGACAAGATTTGCCCTGCACCATGTCTACAAAGCCGCAACAGCTTGGGACAGACTATACTGGACATGTTACAACGCTTGTAATGATTGACAAATAAGTTTGCCCTTCGTGTCAGTAACAGCACGTGCGCTTGTAGTACTACTGTACGTCAGAAATATACCGGGGCATCAGTTTACTGTCCACATCCATTGTAGATAGTATCGCTGATTATAATGGGTTCTATATTGTCTTTTGTCGCGTCACACCGTGCCGCTCGCATCCGAGGAAGACACGGAACCAGCGCGGCAGCGATGCGGGTTTTGCCCGGGGATGAACCCGTGAGAGTGGAAAAGTTCCGGAGAACATCCGCGATGTGTATCGATGCACCTTACGAGAGAATAAGACCAGCAAGCAAGGTAAAAATATATGTATGTACAGTATGTCTGTGTGTGTTTTGTCAAATTTTTTGCACACCAGTTAACAAATTACCCATTAACATTGAGGTAACTTTACTTTCATGCAATCCTCGTGTTTTACATGTACGTCGCCATTTTGGCTCTAACTCACGCATGTTTACACCGCCATTTTGGCTCTAGATAACTTCCAGTTGCAAACGCACATTTAACTCACTTAACCTTTCTCATCCAATAACAATCAACATTATAAACTCTTTATAAACATCCATGAACACTTTTCACATATATGTTTCCTCTTATGTCTAATACATATTACTAAATGCGTATTAATAAACAGTCTTACTCAATAACCCAACAAAAATAAACACATACATCTTTGAAACACAGTGTTTTACATTAGTTTCAACCAGTTTTTGAATCAGTTTTGCTCACCTGTAATATAATGAAAAGAAACGCTGTAAGACAGAGGAGTACTGGCTGCAGTCTTCGGCAATATTTAATTGATTCTGACTCGCCCGCTGCATTACCTTGAAACAATAGCGTTAAGCGCCCTCTTCAGGCGGCAAGCATAACAGCGACAAAGCATTCTTTTCCACTCAGTGAACTGATGAATGAAAATGAAGATGATGAATTTACACCAATTTATATAACATAATTAATGTTTTTAAGGCACAAATACCACCCAAAATTTTAAGAGGTTTTTTTTTTTCCTCTACCCATATGGACATATGCATTTTAAGCACATTCATTTTTACCAACCCCTACACTGTTACTGGGTTTTGGGTATCACACAGACTCTGCTGACTAGGTTCTGGATATTAGATAAAACAGATAAATATACTTGTAAAATTGAAGCACACTACATGTGCTCATCCATTACATTTAAGTACAATTCTTTTTACCTCTGTAG